GCTGACCCTCCACCAGTTTTTTCAATAAATCTCACAAGAGGAGATTACTCATTTTTCTTCCACAAAGAAGCTGGTAGAATTGAACCACATTTCTTTGAGTCAGCAGCACATCTCCTTACCACTAACCCACCAGAGCTCCCTCCTAATACTGAAGATTAATTATTTTCTAATAAAGTCTTAAGTTTTGTCTCCAGCCCAAGACTGAGTTGTTTCTTTTCGTTTTCAGAATATTTAGTGAAAATGCTATCCTAGGACCACAGATCCACAAATTAGCTTGGATTAAAAATGCTGTCTTTTAAATTGTCTAAGCTCTGATGTAGTAGTACTACTTAGACCCTGAGGCACACAGTTTGAATCCAGCAACTGCTCTGTGGGGAAAAGATGGGTAGTCTCCTCTGGTGCCATTTACTACTTCTGCAAACTCACTGGAAGGTCAGCTATGAGTCAGTTCTGACTCACTGGTATATAACAACAACTTTTACTGGGCTAAAACAAATTCCTTGAACTTGGGCTAAGCTATGAGTTTAAAACATCGTGCCAAATCTTCCTCAGCCACTGTTGTCATCTTTGTTGATTCATTTTATGTCTTGGATTATCATTCTAAACTCCTAAGCTATTTCATAGTTTCGTTCTTTGTTGTTCAGTGTTACCACTAATCTTTCAAGATTAACAGTCCTTAGTCCTTGGTTTATGTTGCAGGTCTCTGCTAAAACACCCATCTTGCCAATATTCAACTCTGAATCAGTTTACTTGCTCCCTGACTTTGCTTCTACTCATAGGCTGATAGGAGTTTCTGGGAGAAAAAGAATTTGTTTAATAATGAGCCTATTTGAAGTGGGTAAAGAGTTGTTCTGCCAACTCAAAGGCAGGTGGTTTGAATTCACCCGCTGTTCCACAGGAGAAAGACAGATGGTCTCCTACCATGCATTGACAGCCTCCAAAAACCTACTGGAAGGTCAACTATGAGTTGGGTTTTGACTCAGTGATATATAGGAACAATATTAGAAGTGTGTGATAACAAATCTCAACTGACTGATGCAACCTTTATGCTTCTCAGATCCCATCCCTGTCCATGACACCCTCATTGCCAGTAAAACTCTACCTTCTGTTTCCCCCAGAAAATAGAAAACAGGATTGCATTTTCTCAACTTCCTATCTTATAGTTAAATTTTGCCAGTTTGTGCTACCTCTGCCTTATTTTTAAATTTTTTTTTATTTAATTATTTTCTGTGTGTGTACTGTCCAATCAGATCTGACTGGTACAGGAGGAGATTGCCCTCCTTCTCCAACAGGGCATCTGGTAGATCTTCCTCATGGACTTTTGATCCAGATCGTTTCTGCCTTTCTCTAGAACGTTACTTGTTGTTAGGTGCTGTTGGGTCCATTCTAACTGAGCAGCAAGGTCTGATCATTCACCATCCTCATAAACACTTCTGTTAAACAGTCACTTTCCTCATTCTGTTGTCTTGTCCCATTCACACTGTAAAATTTGTTTTCCTCGGTCTGCCTGTAAAGATCTTTTTGTCCCACTTCTCCTTCACTTGCCACCGTTATATTTTCTTCCTTTAATGATTAAACACTTAAAAATAAACAAGCTTGATTTTCTCTCTAGCTTCTCACATCATCCTGTGAAGCCATTCAGAGAAGCCATTCATTGACTCTATTGCATTTTCTCAATGACTTGCTCATTTCAAATCCAAGGATAACTTGTCAAGTTTCTACACTGTGTCTTTGTAGCATTTAGGGAAACCACCTTCATTTGGCCTTAGAAATGTGACTTTCTAGGTACACTGCCCATCTCCATAATGAGATTTTCTTTGATTTTTTCCCCCTTTCTATCCTTTAAACACTGATGTTTCTTAGCAATTTATTCATCTCTATTCTTCTCAATCTCTACTTTCTCTTTTTAGTATCATCTAATTTTCTGGGTTCATATATTTGTTACTGTTTTTTGTGTGCCCTCAAGTTGATTTTTGACTCGTAGTTGACCCAATGTGACAAAATAGACTACTCCACAGATTTTCTAGGTTGTAATCCTTTACCACTGGGCCAATAGCCAACATCATGATAGATGGAAAAAATATGGAAATTGTAAATTATTTCATCCTACTTGGATCCACAGTCAACACCCTTGGTACCAGCAGTCAAGGAATCAAAAGATGTGTGGCATTGGGAAAGTCTGCTGTCAAAGACCTTTCCAAAGTGCTAAAGAGCAAAGATGTCTTTTAAAGACAAAAGCACACCTGATTCAAGCCATGATCTTTTCAGTTGCTTGCTTTGCATCTGAAAGTTGTACAATGACTAAGGACGAAGAATTAATGTCTTTGAATTATAGTGTTGGAGAATAGTGCTAAATACTTCATAGGCTGCCAAAAGAACATACAAATATATGTTGGTAAAAGTGCAACTAAAGTGCTTTTTAGAGACAAAGATGGTGAATTTTTTGTCTCATATACTTTGAGCATGTTGATAGGAGTGGTCAGTCCTTGGAAAAGGACATCAAGCTTGGAAAGGTGGAGGGTTAGTGAAAGAGAGAAAGACCCTCAACAGGAGGGACTGACAGATGACAAATAACATGGGCTAAAGTGTATCCAAGATAATGAGGATGACACTGGGTTCAGATCCATTGTTCCATTGTTCATTGGGTTGCTATGAATTGTAGTCGACTGAACACACCTAACAAAACAACAATGACAACAGTGTTCACAGGAGCATATCACCAAGTCTTTAGTTCCATGAAGCCACTATGTGAATTTAAACTGATAGCCTTTCATTTATCAGCCAAGTGTTTAACTGTTGTGCCACCAGGACACTTTTATTTGCTAATGGATTCTTAAGAGCTCATTTCTGGGCTCAGACTTCTCTATGCAGCTCCTGATCTGCTCTCTACATATCTATCTACATGGTCCTATAAGCAGTCTATCAGGGAAGGTAGACTAGACAATGCACTGATAACAGAAAACACAAAAAAATCTTAGCAATTTACAAAGCTTTATTTCTTGCCTGCATTATGTATTCATTGTGGGTCTGCTGCAGCTGTAACCCCGCTGTCCTGCCTATGAAACCTCAGCTGACAGAGAAACATCTCTCTGGGAGGTTGCCAGTCATTGTAACACAGGAGAAAAAAGATAAACAACAAGCCACATGCTGACTCTTGAAGCTTCTGCCCAGAAGTAACACATTTCAAGCCACATTGTATCAGCCAAATCAAGTCACAGTGTCACCTCCAAACTATGTGAGTGGGGACATATAATCTTTTCCTTAGGGAGGAGTGCTACAGACAAGGAAGTAGAATACTTAGCAACAATGATACAGTTTTAACCTTCTACTTACTGTCTTATCCTCATCCAAATTGTAATCCTCTCCCTGTTTACCTTATTATTCTCTTAGTTGGAGGGAAACCGGAGGCCTAGTCTACAGGGAGTTGCACTGCTAACCCCAAAGCAGTTAAAATCCACCAGCTTCTCTGCAGAAGAAAGATAAGCAGTATCCTCCTGTGTGATTTACAACTTCTTAAAACCAGCTGGAGGGTCAGCTATGAGTTAGTTCTTACTCGATGGCAATGAATCTGAGTTTTTTAGTTTTCTCTTACTCATTTTCACTGGTTAAGTCAATTGACCTGGAAACTTCAGAATTGTCTTTAAATTCTTCTCCTCCTTATCCCCCTGGTGCTCAGTTATTTGGTCAGTAATCATCTGTGTTCTGCCCTGAAATAGCTCTACCACAACCTTCCTTCTGTGTGCTTTCTCTGGTCTGGGCTCTACTCTGCAGGAGACTCCCAGCTGTCTCCCTCTTCCTTCACAAGTACATCTTCTACCCTGCGGTCAGGACTGGCCTTTTAAAGTACATATCTTGTGTCATTTCTCTGCTCAAAACTCTTCAAGGGGAAAAAGCCTGAAAAAACTCCAAGAATTCTCTCTTACCTCCCACTTTCCTGTGGTGGTCTGTGTTTTCCCATGGTGATCAAAACATAATACTTTAGTCTCATCTTTCACCATGCCTTTATATACTTAACCTCCCATATGCACTGTGCATTCTTATTTTACCTACTCACTTTTCCCATCGTTTTTGTTAAAATATAATTTAGATACAATAGCATGCTCCCTTTTTAGTGCACAGTTCTGAGTTTTAACGACTGCATTAGTCTTGTAAACACTGTCACAATCAAGATAGGATAATTCCATCACATCAGACTCTCTTATGCATCTCTGTAATCCACCCTTTCTCCTTCCTAGTCCCTGACAACCACTAATCTGCTTCCTGGTTGTGTAGTTTTGATTTTTCCAGAAAGTCATATGGATGAAACCTTAAAACCTCTGAGTCCTTTTACTTAGCACGATGTCTTTGAGAGTCTTCCAAGTTACTGTTACATATGTTAGTAGTCTGTTCCTTTTCATTACTGACTTGCATTTCATGGTGTGGGTGTACCACAGTTTGCCAATTTGTTCCTGAGTTTAGGGATATTTGGGGGTGTTTCTATCTTCCATCCCATCCTCCTGCCTTTTACCTCAAATATACTCCCTGATCTCCTAGCTTTTCCTTCTGTCTTCCACAATGCCCTTTTACCTTGAACTTGCACTGCAGTTCATTGTAGTTTTCAATAAGGTCAGGAGGACAGATTAATTAGCTCTCTCCTTGCCTCACCCCCTTATCCCCAACATCTATTGCAGACTCTGGTCCAGCCAATGAATGCTTAATCAGTCACTGTTTAGTTTCATCTACCTGACTCCCTTGTCCCTAGGACTGCAGGCCCTCCTTCATTTCTTGTTTTGGTTTGGTTTTCTTTTCTTTTGGAGGTCTCTATGTCTGTATGTTTCTCTCTCTCTCTCTCTCTCTCTCTGTGTGTGTGCGTGTGTGTGTGTGTGTGTGTGTGTGTGTATGTGTGTGATATTCTGACTCATCTTGACCTGTGCTTCATAGAGCTTTCTGTGTTTTAGTTGGTTGGTGTTTTTTGTGGAAGTGGGAACTCTCACTTGTTTGGGGTTTTTGGTGGTATTGGTTTTTTAATAAAAAGATATCCTAGATCAAATAACTTTGGGGAATGTTATATGGCATTATCTCTCAGAATATATATTACTAAATAAAGATGGAGAAAAAGTATTTTTAAACGTTAGTTTAACCTGAATGAAATAAAAAATAGAACAATCTCATGGCCATAGGCTCAATTCTTAGTCATGGCAATCTTGCAAGACTATAGGACTGGCCTACAAGGTTTCCAAGGCTGCAAATCTTTATGGAAGCAAATTGCTATATCTTCCTCCCACTGAGCTGCTGACCGTCAGATTAACCATTGACCTTCAGATTAACCATTGAACCACAGAGCTCTTTAATGACAGCCAAATGCTTTTCAGATTTGTAGGACCATGAGGCAATTGTCAGAACAGAGCAAGGAAACACTGCATGGTTCAAAATTGGGAAGGGTGTACACCAGGAATGTGTCCTATCTCCATACTTTTTCAATCTATATGCAGAACAGATTATCCAGGAGGCTGGGCTCTATGAGGAGAAATGTGGTGTCAGAATTGGAGGAAGACTCATCAATAATCTGTGTTATGCAGATGAAACGGAGGAGGATTTGAAAAGCGCTTGCTGCAGAAGGTCAAGGATGGCAGCCTTCAATGTGGATTGAAACTCAGCATCAAGAAAACAAAGACTCTCATACTGGGCCGATTGACAGCATCATGATAGATGTTGAAGAGATTGAGATTGTTAACAGCTTTAGTTTGCTTGACTCCAATATCAACACTCTTGGTACCAGCAGCCAGGAAATTAAAAGACGAATTGCATTGGGATAGGCTGCTGTCGAGAGACCTTTTCAGAGAACTGAAGAGCAACGATGTCAGCCTGGAGACAAGGGTGCACCTGATCCAGGCCCATAGTCTTTAGATTTATTTACTTGCTGTGCATCACAAAGCTGGTGACTTTCTATGACTATGGATGATAGAAGAAGAATTGATGCCTTTGAGCTGTGGTGGTGGACAAGAGTATGGAATATACCATAGACATCTAAAAGAACAAATAGGTTTGTCCTAGAGAGGTTGAGACCAGGTCTATTGATCCTTGGAGGCAAGGATTCTGAAGCTTTGTCTGACATACTCTGGACATGTAGCAAGGTGGGACCAGTCCTTGGAGAGGGATGTCATGCTGGGGAGGGTAGAGGGACAGCACAGGAGAGGAAGACCCTTGATGAGACAGACTGATTCAGTGACTGGGGTAATGGGGTAGGTGTGTCAGAGACAATACGATTGTCACAGAATAGAGCAGGGTTTAGGGTTGTTGTACATACGGTCATTATGAGTCACAGGCAACTCGATGGCACATAAAAACAACGTGACCATAAAACACATAAATGCATCCTGCGTAACTTGTATTCCTAAAGAATGCATTTTGGGGAATTGACATACAATACCCAAACCATTTATAACTCAATTACGTTATCCCTTGTCTTGCCAAGATCACATAGGAATTTCATGTAAAGCATTTTTCCCTGTGTTCATGTATGTTGCTATATATAGCGGTGTATACATAATTGTCAGATACAGGTAACAGTAACCTCCATCAAGTTTGTGCCTAGGTGCTAAGCAGATTTTCTTGTATTAAGCTCTGCTGTACAACAGAAGAGAATGAAAACAAAACAAATCACAAGTTTTCATTCCTTTCTTTGTAAAAACATTTTAGTGGTTCTTCTTTCTGCCTTCCCCGAAGATTTATTTTAGAATTATGGCTGTATGTAGAAGAACCGTAGAATTTTAAAAGTATGAGAGATTGTCCTTAATTTTACAGATGATTAGGTTGAGTACCAAAGATAATATGCCTTGCTCAAGGGTTGTAGTTGCCAGGCTAGGCCTAGATCTGAAACGTGGTCTTCCTACGACCTATGTCAGTTCTTCCTTCCTGATGCTGACTTACATCCCTTCCTGATAATGACTTACATTCTTAAATCTGGTTTTTCTTTTTTTTTTGCTAGGAAGCATATCCATATTAAATGTCATTGTTTTTTTCCTCTGTGAATATACTAGTTAGTGTGTCATCTGTAAAATGATGAAGGTGAAACAATTCTTTATTTGTGTTCTCCTAGGGAGACCCTGGAATATACTTTGAGAAAATGCTTAAGGACGAAATGGTTGGATTAAAGGGAAATTTCAGGGCATTCAATATCTAGCATTAAGCTGGTATTTAATACTTAATTTAAAAGCACATTAGCAACTTATTGCCAACTTATACATAAAAAGGGGGGAAATGGCGTGAACACAATTTGGCATTCGAATGACTAATTACTTTTTTTTTTAATAGGTGGGGAAAAGTGGTAATGTACCAGCAGGCACTACAGTAGACAGTACCATCACACATCCATCTGAGTTTGATTTTTACCTCTGTAGTCATGCAGGAATTCAGGTAATTTGAAAGCTGATTGAGACCTTGGACTTGATAGGGTGCTGTTTGTAAATTCAGCAGCTCACTTGAGTAGACTTGTTATTAATCTCTACATAACTCTGATAATGCTTGTAGCCTACACTCTTGGGATCTAGGGATGCTGGGTAGAAATACTGAGTTTAAGGAGTAGGTTTCATTTCTCTCAGGTAGTCAACCTATATCAGAAATATATTCATTACAAACTCTCTTTCTAGGGAACCAGCCGTCCTTCACATTACCAGGTCCTGTGGGATGACAACTGCTTTACTGCCGATGAACTTCAGCTACTGACTTACCAGCTGTGTCACACATATGTGCGATGCACACGCTCAGTGTCTATTCCTGCCCCTGCATACTATGCTCGGCTTGTAGCATTTAGGGCAAGGTATCATCTGGTGGATAAAGATCATGACAGGCAAGTGTCTCAACACTGTAAAAGCTTGCTGTATATGTTGTTCTTATGTCCTGTTGAGTCAGTTAGCAGCACATTATAAAAGGAACTACTATAGAAATTTTTTTCCTATGAAAAATATTTAAACTTAATTTTAGGGTTTGGATTGCAAGGAACAAACAAAAGTGCATGAGTCGTCGAGAGCATAGAATGTGACTTTTGATCCAAGAAATGCTGGAACTTGTTTATACTTGTATGATTTGTCTAAACCCTGCCCAGGAAAACAAGTCTAGTTTGGAACTGCCTGTGGCTTTGCTGTAGAACCAAATATTCATTTCTGCTCTGGTCCTGAGTAGCCTGAAAGGTGGTCAGCTAGCTCTCAGTCTTTAAATAAAGACAGACCTTTGAACACCACCTCATGCAGGAGAAAATCCTTACCAGGTCATTGTGTTTTCAGTATAATTTAGAAGAATGCCTCAGTGTGAGCCTGGGTTTATGTGGAAGGGAGGCATACTAGACCGTTCTTACTCCCAAACAGAGATCTTGAGATATTTTGACCTGTTCTGAGCTACTATTAAATACCCAAACAAACACAACATTAATTTTCTTTTCCAAGTGACCATCTGTGAAATGTAGCAGAGTTTGGGATCTTCCTCAGCTCTGAATTCAGGTGCTAAACAATAGACATTCCACTGCAAGTCTATGTCTTGAAAGACTGAAGGAAGATACGCTGTTATAGAAAATCCCCATCTGTGGCTTTTCACCTTCCATTCTGTAAAACACGTTCATTCATTCAGTCCGTTAATTAGGTATTGACCTTGTGTCTGGGACTGTGCTAGGCACTAAAAATACTAATAAAATAAGGTCTAGTTCCTGCCCATGGGGATTTTCTATTTCAGTATAGGAAACAATACAAGCAATTACCTGGCAATTACCCCAGAGCAGTATGGATGAAAATGCGGTGGGATGTTCAAAGGAAGGCAGTGTAGATTTTGTAATGGGAATGAGCAAGATTTGGCTCTACACATAAGGGAAAATATTTTTTTTCCAGGCAGAGGGAACAGTGGGAATAAAGAAGGGAAAAACCAGAAACATGTTCGGATAGTAGCAAGTTTTTTTTGGCTGGAGAATAATAAAAAATGAATAGCAAGGATGTGGCTGAAAAAGGAAATGAGAGTAAGCTTGTCTTTGTTAAATGAAAGATTATATTCCTGGGATGGAATAGTCAGGACTTGATTCTTAATTGGGTGTAAATGACTAGAAAGAAGATGAAGTAATTTTGATGATAATAATTCCTAGGGAGTCAGAGGGGGAAAGCTGGCTTAGAGTGAATGAAGTATTTTCTTTTCCGTGGCACCTTTAAGAGACATGTACTTGTTCTTGTTGCCCCAAGAAATTTAAGTTCAGCAGAGTTGTTGCTTATACAAGGTAATATAGCTAAGGGGAAAAGAAGAGATTGATGGCACATTAACATTAGTTGAGTAGTTAAATGTGTACCAGCACTGTGCTAGACACATTTATTCATTCTGTTTATGTTGCTAAACAACAGGTATACAGTGGTGTTTAAGATAGGCAAGATCACTGAATTTTAAATTGGGAGTTTATATCCCAGTGTTGTTGTGTGCTGTTGAGTTGGAACCAACTCATAGCAGACCATCCAGTGGCTTTTCAGAGGCAGTAAATCACGTGGGAGAAGATTGCGCATCCTTCTCTTGTGGAGCAACCGATAGATTCAAACCACGTGCCTTTAGGATTGCAACATAGGTTCTAACCGCAAGGCACCAGAGCTGCCTATATCCCAGTTGTTGTTGTTGTGTTTGTGTTGTAGAGTTGAAACTGATCCATCGCTGACTTCTGGTGGGTTTTCAGAGGCAGTCAGTTGCAAGGGAGGAGATTGCCCACCCTTTCCCCTGAACGACTGGTAGCCTCAAACCATGTGCACAGCTTTTTACCACTAGGCCACCAGAGCTCCTACACTTAGGCATATTAAGATAAAGCTTTCACTTAGGCATATTAAGATAAAGCTTTAAAGAGTGTTGTACTATTTCTTCCCCTATATCAGAATCAAGGTAGACATCTCTCTACCTGAAAAGATTCTATTTATGGGAAGACAAAGAAATAATTATCAAACCAATAATTTTATTTTATTGGTATTTAGTCCTATGAAGGAAAAGAGTGGAATTTTGTGAAAGCTATTTCAAGAGGCTTGGACTTGGACTTTGGATTCAGGGTGAATTTCTTTTGGGGGGAAAAAAGACATCTGAAGAAAGAGTGAAGCATAAAGAGAAATGAACCAGATGTAACAGGTAGTGGGGGATTCTTACATAGACATTATTAAGGATTTTAACATTATTCATTCTTACAGTAGTTTGTATTGATTGTTGTTATTTAATGATTCTTCTAACAGCCTGTTAAGTAAGTTGTCAAGCTGAAAAGGTTGAGTTGTTAGGTGCCACTGAGTTGACAGTGACTCTTAGCAACTCTGTGAGCCACAGTTCTGGACCCTGCCCTGGCCTGCGTCATCCTCAACATCTCTTATGTGCCCAAACCCATCGTTACAGAATTGTAGCAAATCATAATTAGTTAAGGAGCCAAGAGTTGGGCCCAAGATCTTGAATCCAGTACTTTTTTGTGTTATTTGGAACATGTGATGCTAGACACGGTCTTCTGTTACACCTGTTTAGTTTTTCTTCTTTTCTCTCTCTTTGCAGTGCGGAAGGCAGTCATGTGTCAGGACAGAGCAACGGCCGAGATCCTCAGGCCTTGGCTAAGGCTGTACAGATCCACCACGATACCCAGCACACAATGTATTTTGCCTGAGAGTCTCAGAAAAAGAACTCAACTCATTTGGCACCCCATGCAGCCTCAAAACTTTTCACATGCCCACTGCCTCTAGATAGAGCCAACTTGACTTCAGGTGGTCTTCTACCAGCAGCTCGGAATAGTTGCACTGAGTCTGTACATCACAGCACTCTTTTGATGCATCAACAAAATTGAGCCATTTTTAAAAAGTAATAGATAGTCTCATAGATGATCTTTTCTGATGCACTGGACTGAATTTTTACCTCAATGTGCAAAGGCTGATGAGCCTGAACTTTCTAAAGGACTTTACAGGAAAGGTTTCTGTGGAATATTTTGCTAGCTGTGGTGTTCACAAACTAGAGTTCCCTCTAGTCTTTTAAGAGAAGATTATCCCTTCTTGTTGGTATCCATCCAGGGGTGTATGCATCAGTGTGCAAGAGGAATCAAGCAATCTACTTCAGTTCAGTGAAACTACTTAATTGTGTGGGTCCATAGACTTTTTAATGGAGATCTCTGACTTCACCACTGTAAATGCCTTTAACGAGCATTAATTTTTGAAAGTTTTACAGAGTTTTATTAGTTTTACTACTTATCTTATTGATCTCTGCAGACTTGTGCTGCTACAAGTACAGGCTGCCAGGCAATTGCACTATATTTGGCTGCAGATTCAGACAGGCAGTTCTCTTACTTAATTGACTTTTCTGAATGTGTAACATTTAAAAAGGTGTAATGCATGTCACGGTGACAGATTAACACCTCCCTGGTCAAAGCACTCATGCTTCCCTCTCTTTGAAAAAGAAAAAAAATTAGCTTTTAGTATTTTTCCAAGTTTTCAAAAGTGCCCATTTTATGCTGCTGTGTGGTTTGTTAGATCTAAATGATTTTTAAACTTTTCTCATAAAAACTTAACTTTGGCAATAAACATTTTTTAAGGGCCCTCCTCTTCTTCACCTTTGACCGTGTAGTTTTCTAGATGAGATTTCGGTATGATTTTATCAGCTATTTCTTATATATCATAATCTGGAAATTTCTGAAACTGATCAGAGAAGATGTAAATTTCCATGCCTTTTTAAAGACTCATTTTTACCTGTTTTATAGCCACAGTTGGTGTCCTGTCACTTTGTTTTAAAATAAGCTAGAACCAGGATGCTTCCTTACGGAGTAGGCTCTGCCAATCCTTAAGGTACATTGAGTGATGCTGCAATTTGCAAAAACGTACCAGCATTTAAAGCTCCCCACCTCCTAGCCCTTGGAATTAAAATTACTCACACAACTTTTTGCAAAAAAATTTTTTTGCTTCTCTTTCAAAGTGAAATAAACTTGGTGGGGTTTCCTTCCTTTTTAGGAAATGAAAACTTTGTAGAAAAGCTTGAATTTTCTTAATCGATTCTGTATTCCACTCACAGAGAGATGGGATTCCTTTCTTGTCAGACAAAGAGAGTTGATCTAAAGCAAGCATCAGTTAAAATATAGGGAGAAATGTATTCCATATTTGTTCTTGTGTGTCCGTCAAAGCAATTCCAATGTATGATGACCCTATACGACAGAACTGCTCTGAAAGGTTTCCTAGGCCAAAATCCTTACACAAGCAGATTGCCAGGTCTTTTCTCCCTCAGAGCAGGTGGTGAGTTTGAACCTCCAGCTTTTGGGTTAGCAGTTGAGAGCTTAACCATTGCACCATCAAGACTCCTATACTGTATTTAGTGTAGATAATTCTTTGTGAATGGACAACAGTTACATAGAATCTTGGTAGTCCAACCAGTGTTTCCCAGCCCAGATTGGACTGATTTGTAATTCTCCATCTCAGAACCTCAGGAGTGAAAGATGGAGAAGGGGCTAAAAGGCCTAGAGACGTGCTCCATATGAATGAGGAAGGTGCTGGGAGAAGAGACTGACAAATGCTGGTAAAATAATACTTCTCCCTCTGTCTGAAGGCAACTGATGGAAAACATTGGATTTAATGGTGAAGGGTCATTAACCGGTCCAAATCTCTTTAACTAGCCTTCTCAAAATCCCAGCAATATAAAGCACGTTTTTCTTCAGTCTTTTAATAAGCTTGTAAATACATTGAAGTTTACATTTTCATATGCTGTTGATTAGAGGCGCTACCAATGTTTGTTGAGACTCATCTTCAGAGCATCGTGTGATGTTTGTAGAGTCCTATCGCTCTTTAAGTTGAGTGCAGATGCTCTTATCCTCTGTCCATAGTGGGAGGAAAGCAAGCTCTGTAACTGAGGCACAACCCAGGCAGGAGCAAAGAGATGGCAGAAGTTATTTCCTTTTTTTTTAAATACCTCACTTGGATAATACAAATCAGGACATGTTGGTGAGGGGCTGGCTGCTGTTTTTATTCAAACTTGTTCAGGGAGAGCACAAAAAACTACCCTTCAGCATGGCCACTCTGGACCCAAGAGGAGGAAAAATGGAAGTGTTTTTTGGAGGACTTGCTGGAGTCCAGGATGTGAAGAACTCTTGAGGGCTGGCTGGCTGGCCATCGGGCTTCACACCTGCACTTGAGTGCCTCAGACTTGCTTGTTAAAAATGCACACAAGAAGCTTGCTTCTCACTATCTCCTGGCACATACAAAGCAAAGAGCAAAGGCTGGGAAGTCCGATCTCCTGTCTTACAGTTGGGCTGTATACTCAGCCCCAAACAATACAGTTTCTAAGACCTCAGTTAGTCCCTAGTACACTGGAACAAATCAGTGTGGAGGTGGAGGAAAAGCCGGGAGGCCTATTTTTATAGGAAAGCAGTACGCTTAAGGTGTAATGCTATAATTTTTGGACAAAAGGAAAAAAATAAGGCGTAAAATAGAATTACTGGAGGGAAAAAACTTGCTGAGGGGCGAATCTTGAAGAAGTAATGTTTGCAGAATCAGAGTTGCAGCAATAACATTGCAAGCAAGTCTGAATGCTTAATTTTAATTTGGTTTGACAAACTGAATATGTAACCCCTTGAAACTGAACTGAATCGTTATGCATGTGTCAATCAATGGGAGGTGTGCATTCTCTAGAAGTAGTTTTAGGGTGTTTGGTTTTTTTATGATGCCGACTGTTTAGGCACTGTCATGTGGTGTGAAAGATTTAAATGTAGCAACTGTTAAAGAGTAGCAATTTGGGGGTGGGGGGAAGGAGCAGGTAAGAGCCATGAAAACCCAAATATTGAATCAATTATGTTTTACTGTTAGCTGTTGAATTATAGAGTTTAAAGCAACCAGCAGTCTGGGCAGGCAGGACGTATTCATTCTTACTGTAAGTTCTATTTGCTGCTTCCAAAGGTGTTGATCTATATGCAGACATGTTCTATATGATCTGTATTTTTAGGATCTGGTGCCCAGTTTCTGTCATAGTTTACCTACCTGGCTTAACTACCTACCCTTCCAGTGGGAAAAGGTAATCCTTGCGTAGATACACTGTTTAACACAGCTCGCTCTCTGCCCCAACCCTAGCAACCCTTTGTGGACGTGCTGTAAGATTTTCTTGCTCAATAGCAAGGTGGTAGCTTTCATTTTAAGAAAGTGGAGACTGAGGGCATTGTATCAATACTGTTTCAACTCTGAGGATTTTTCCTTGTAAAGTTAAAGGAAAGGTCTTATTGTTGATGAATCATTTTCTTATCCCTTGCTATTGATATATTCATGCTCTTTATGTCTAGTGGCTGAAAATGTTTGCATTTGTTCCTTTGACTAATGGTGTAATTTTTGTTTCTATATTGTTATACTTGTAATGTTTAAAAATGTATTTTATTAAATTTGGACTGGATGTATGTCTCTAGCAATACGAGGTACTTTCTAAACTATTAAAGAGGAGTTGTATCCCCATGTTGAGATAAGATGATGATTGATTAAATTTTGAACTTTTTTTTTTTTGGCCTGCAGGGATATTTTGTGTTCATGTGTCCAAAAAAAGATAATAAATTGGCATTCTTGTGCCAGAAGTAATTCTTTTCTTGTCAGTTGTCTAACATGGAGTAAAAACATACATGATTGCTTTTCATAAACCATTTCCTCATCTGAGTAATTTACTGAGAAAGAAGAACAGTAGGGAAACGCTATGTTCTTAAACCCTGGATTTCTCTATTTTTAGAAATTGCTATTTGGGAATTTTAGAAGAGCTTCTCAGCAACACATCACATATGAAAATTTACAGGACTCATCAGGATCCCAAGAGCAGCTCTAGTGGCAAGATCTATTTAAGTGATGTCTTGAGAAAAATCTTCAGTCTCCAGAGGACAGAGTGGCCACAGACTTGATGAATTACAAGACTGACTTTCCAAAAGAGAGGGGCCCCTACTTGTCTAAATCACTCAGCCTAGGACTATCCAATCCCAGTAAGTATTTCTTTACAAACTAGCAAAGCCCTTTTATTAATTTGTGGCAGGGATAAATGCAGATATTTATACAATTTGTCTTACCCACAAGGAATTTACAGATTACTAAGGAGCAAATCCTACATATAGCTAACTCTGCACATAACAATGATAACCGCAAGGTTAGGTGAGGACCAAGGTAAGCCTGATTCAGATTCAGGCCCTGGTCTTTTCGGTCACCTGCTGTGCATCGGAGAGCTGGACAGTGAGTAAGGATGACAGAAGAAAAATTGATGCCATTGACCTGTGATATTGAAGGAGAGTACAGAGTATTCCATGCATGGCCAAAAAAGCAAGCAAATATGGCTTGGAAAAGCTATAGCTCCTTGGAACCAGAGTGCTTTTTGAAGGCAAAGACAGTAAAGCTTCATCTCACTTACCTTGGACATGTTGCTAGGAGAGGCCTTGTCTTGGAAAGAGACATGCTTGGAAAGATAGAGTGTCAATAAAAGGAAGACCCTCAACCAGGTGGACTGACATAGTAACTGCTACAGTGGACCTGAGTGTGTCAGAAGTTGTGAGGAGGACACAGGATAGGACAGGGTTCAGATATGTTGTTCACAGGGTTGCTATGGGTCATACTTAACAGCACCTAACAACTGCAAGGTAGTTGGGTTTTTTCCTCCATCAGCCCCATACACCTTTTCAAA